CCCTATACATTATATTAAAATTTTAAAGAATGATAAATAAATAATAATTAGTAATAAATATTAAATAATAATAATAAATAATGATAATAAACAATAATATCAAATAATAATAAAGAATATTAGATACGTAAATAAAAATTATAAAAGACAATACAGAATATTAATATAACAGCAGTTAGAAAAAAGGAAAAATAATTTACATTCATTTGTCAACAATTAAATTAAAAATGAAGATTACTGAAACAAAAATGAGATTAAAGTCACATTACATTCAATGCGATATATAGAAATTTTTTGGAATAACTGTATATATGTATACGTATATTAATGTAAAAAATATAAAATTCAAACACCGATAATTTTACAACAATTTTCATTTCAATCAAATTAATATCTAATGATGGTTTGCTCACATAAACGGAATCGTTTATTAAAACATAAATATTGTCGATAGGATGTTGAAAACTATAAATTTCAGAATTCAATTATTTCATTTTAAAATTTTTAATTGAATTGAATTTTTTTGCTGATTTTTATCGCGGAGAATGTAAAATGTAAACTAAAATTAAATACTCTACATTTTAGTAATGTAATATATGTAAATTATTATAATTATCTACAAACTACAGGTTTTATGTAATTGACATTTTTGTTGTAAGTGTAATTTTAAATATGCACATAATTTAATAAATTTCAAAGAAATGTCAGAGTAGAATTTAGAAAAATTTTATTACCGATCTTTATCGCGGAGGATGTAAAATATAAAATAAAATCAAATACTTCAAATTTTGATAATCTAACATGAATTATTATTGCTAAGCTATAAACAACGGATTTTTGTGAAATTTCATTTATTTTGAAGAATATAATTTAAAAAATGAATGAATATAATTATATAATTTAATCTTATATAATATAGTTATATAATTTAATCTTATAATATATAATTTATTTTTGGTAGAAAATTGTATAGTATCGTAAGTCATTACCGTAGATCCTTGTTAAATCGTAATCTGTAGTTGTAGGTATTATGTCTTGCGTTTAATTACACTAGATGACCTGTAATGTTTGCTAATCGTAAGAATACGTGGAAAGAAAGAATGTGGGAGAGAAGCGTTATGTTTTTTTTTTTTATTTATTACGCTATAAAATCCGCTACTGGGTTATTAGCAGCATGCACGTTGCTGTGCATACTCACAGTACAGAGAGAAATTCACATGCTTTTTGTGTTAAAGATTACATGGATGTACAACTATGATACATATTTTATGTTTACATTTTACTTATAATTAGAACTTACGGGTATTGTTAAATTGTTGATAGTCATTGCTAAGTACTCGATACAAATTAATTATAGATGCCAACTGTGGTTTTTAAGAAATTTGCAAATACACAAGAGAGTAATATATGGTTTGCTCAAAAAGAGGTCCATTGTTTGGGGCGGAAAATAACCTATTCTACACAGTTTATTTATTAAAACATTCCTATTGTCGTTAAGGTCACTGCCAAATTATATGGTTGAGAATCTCCTGCACTAAGAATCCATACTGACGTTTTCTGTATCGGGAGCTAGATTAATTTTGAAGAGGGAAGCAGCTAATTGCAAGTGATTTGCTTGAGTCTGTTCGTCCAGCAAATAGTTCCTGGGAAGATTTCTACATACGTGAAAACCATGGTTTTCTCTGATTATATGGAGAAGTCGGTCCGAGTCTAGGTCCTGAGATGAGAGAGGTTTCTTCCGTCTAATTACTATGTAGTTCAAGTTTTTTAATAATTCATGAAATTCTGTGTTTGATGGATTTATTTTCCAAGTAGGGATAGATTTCACGCAGCATTTTGATTAGCGAAGAAAGATTGTCCGTGTAGGATTGTGCCAATTGCACGATGTCCGCATTTCCTTTGGCTTTAATTACAAGTTCTTTATACTGTTCGAACTTTATAACGTATGCGTCCGGATTTTTAATGAAAATATGTTTAACAGGTTCTAGTGCAAAATCTATTGTTTTTGGATCAATCTGATCAGCTTTTCCGCTTTTCTTTTGCTTCTTGTATAGACTGTATTTTGACTATTGTCAAAAACTTATAAATTTGCATAAAAATCCGCAGTCTAATTATAACAATATAATTCTAAAAAATATTATTATAAAAATATTATAAAATATTCTATTTTCTGTATTTTCTTGCTTTATTGAAGAAGGTTGCAAAAGGAGAGGCCTCCCTGTTTGTAAGGGAGTTAGCATCCATCAAAGTAGGGGTTACATTTTTATCTATAGTCACAGAGCTAGCATGTGGGGTACTAGTAGAACTTGTAGAGAGTGGTCTCTTATTGGCAACGTCGTTTCGAGAAAGGTCCATGTACTCATCATTTAAATCCTGTTTTTCGGTATTCAGAGGAGGAAATGAAACTTCCTTGTTTGAATCTAGCACTTGAATCGATGAGGAAGAGCTGTCTATCTGTTGCAGTGAGTCTCTGATTGAGTTGAGACAATGTTCCGCCAGATGTCCTTCCTTCTTACAGTGGAAACACTTTACAATGTTTACTGTAGAACTGTCGATCCGGTAAGAAGTATCATCATAGCTCACTTGTAGATTCCCCTTGTAGTTTGTTTACGTCGTCCGGATGAATGTATACTTGTCTGAAGAAGCTGAGTATGTGTGTGAATCTGGCCTCTGATTCCCATTTGGTTGAAAATGTTTGATATCACATTGTGTGGAATAATGGGACACACGTTTGAGAGAATAACTCGCTTGGTTTTCATAATTAGAGCTCTGACAGAGATCAACGATCTTTGATGAGTATGTTTGTATTGCCTGACGTAAGCTTGTCAACAAAAGATTTACTTGCGAGATACATACATAATCTATTATTAGGGGTCCTTGAAGCAAACCGAATATTGGCTGGGTTTATAACTTTCCCAACTCCAAATATGTAGTCTTTCGTATGCATCCAGCACAATAGCATGCTCCTTCGTGGGGAAGTTATCTTTCTGGATAACATTAGCGTATGTAGATTCTTGGGAAGTCATATCTTGAAGAGTATTTACTTTATCCATGTTATATAAAAGAGACACAGGAATCTCTTTATTTCTTTCGAATAAAAAATATAAAAGAAGATATGTTTGTCGGACCCAATCGAATTCGAAATCACAACGGTTAGCACTTCGTATAGCCAGCACACGCGGAACAAGCAAGCGTCTAACATTCACGAGTGTCAATACGCGATGTTAGCGTAAGGCGTTTTTCTTTTCAGAAAAGAGGACAGTCGAGGGAGTGGTGTCGATTTGAGTTGTGAAAAAGAGTTGATTCAGTTGTTCAAGAAGAGTTTATTTGTGACTGGGTATATTAGTTGTTAATTTGTGTCCATTACCTTGTTTAATTATCTATTGTTTAATCACCAGCCTTGTTATTAAATAAATATTATTCATATTTAATCTTTACAATCGTTTTAATGATTTAAAAATTTTTTTAACAAAATCTCAGTATTTTTTCATATTATAAGTATTTTGTGTAATTTTATACTTCAAAATTTCCTATAAATTCATAAAAATTGAGCTATATTGATCTATAATCCAGTGACATTATTTGAGAATTAATAGCATAGAACGCATAATCATCAAACTCTGTTTTCTGATCAATTTGTGTTTTTTAAAGTCATTACTAACTTATATAGGTATAAAATTCATTCACACTGCTTCTCAAAAATTTAGGATGCATTACAATTTTAAAAGAAATAATGATGTTTCTAATTAAATAAATATTTTATTTATAATATATATACTCTTTTATACTCTTTTATATAGTAATAGAGTAATATGTTACTTTTTTATATAGACTGTGATTGTGTTGTTTAACGCAAGAATGGTTTCAGTGACAAAAGTTAATTATATTTAGAAACTGAATATTTTCTATGTAATCAAGATGTAATATTTTCTATAATATTAAAAAATTAAAACACAACATTACATGCTTCTTTTTACTATAAAATATTAATAGTTTTAATAACTTAATATTTTACCATTTTATATTTAACATTTTTATTTTAATCGGAAATGCATCTTGCATCTAGCAATACAATTAATTAAAAATTAAAAGTATTATATTTTTACTTAAAAAAAAAAAAAAAATGGACAATTTATATTTTCCAAAAAATAAAAGATGCTCCAAATTATGAAACATTTATGTTGTAATTAATTCATCTATAAAAGCAGCTTTAATGAGATATTAAGTGAAATAAAATACTACTATTAAGTGAAATAAATATAAATTTTTATGAAAAATATAATGAAAATAAATGGGTAATAAAATGAGTAGTACCAATTTTCTATTTATGATCAGGCCTAAGCATTATTTAAGTAATATATTTAAAGAAGAGACATTATTTGAAATAATTATGTGTTTCTTTAATGTAAATATAAATATTCTATCTCTAAATTGTTCAATTATTATCAAATGAAATAATTTTTCATTTTATATTTTGTTTCATTTTCTAATAATTTTTATTCAAATAATTTCTCGAATTTTTTAAAAATAATTCTTGTATGACAGCATTGTCACAGATTTCAGATAATCTTACGTCAGATTATATGTTATTTTATTTAAGTAATCGAATTAAAGAAATTATTTGAATTTCTCTATCACTAAACATTATTAAATCACTAAACAAAATACTGCCATTTCTATATTATTTCTAAATTAAAAATAATAAATTACTTGAAGTATTGTATTGTTTCAAATCGTTGTTTTTTATTATATTCAAATATACACAAGCCTGCTTGTAATTTCATGTTTAAACGTGATTCACGGTAACTATATGTTGTATAAATATGAATCCCTCCAATTGAATCTGTTGAAGCTCGACAATCAGTATTATAAAGTTATTAATTATAATGTGTTAATTAAAATTTTACACTCGACTGATATCACAAAATTTTAATGTAATTAAAGCGTAATCACTGAGTGAAACGCAAATGTTTCATTGCCAACTTACTTATCGATTACAGTTTCAACAAATTGCGGTTGCAAAAGGAGGAACTTGAACAGAAGCACCTGCACCTGTTACAGATTGTCGAGAGCGAGAAGACAGCTAAGTGGCAGTACACACAGCAATGCGAGGAGTTCACATCGGAAATAAAAAAGCTCCGAGCGGAAGTGAGTGTTAGTGGATCTGAATAAAAAACACACTGGTTATTAACAGATTTAATATTTATAAATTATGAAACACATATAATATTTAATACTCACTAATCCACTCTCTATTTATTCACTCTTGCTTCTCACTTTCATGCTTCGCGTCTTGGGATCTTCCCGATCACAACTGTTTCTCGTCACCATGCTCGCTCTCAATTGTTCTCGCATATATCTCTCTAGTTCGTTCTTTCTTCTGCCATGAAATATATCAAACACTCAGATCACACCACAATTATATGCACGCTCGCCATACTTATCCTTCGATACAAACATTATGTATATTCACTCCACAATATAACTATCTATGGTAGCCACTGCTACAGTGAGTTGAGAATTAGATTCGACGAATCTTCGTCTAAGGAAATTAGTGTTAACATTATTTGAACTAGCAGGTAATTTTTTGAAATATTTTTCGTAACATAATTGTTTGCTTGTTGTGGACTTTAGACTGAATGATTAAATCCACGTTTGTCTTCCATTTTTTTATAAATTTTTAATCATTTAAGCTTGATACATATAAGCAATTTCTGTTCTTGCGATTTCAAATTGATGATGCTGTACGATTTGACATTTCACGAAAACCAGGCTAGCTGAATACCTTCTTCATTAGTGATTGTACGAAAATCATTCCTGACGTAACTTGAACGTCCCTTAGCTGGTTGGAGAAACGAATCAAATGGAACTATTTTTTTAAAAATATCATTTTTTAATGTTTTTTTCCAAGACATTTACATTGGCATTTTTTTATGTAGGAAGTGTATATTTTTTTCTATTCCATCATGTAGCTCATGAAAAAATACATTCAGATATATTTATGATATAATTTTCGACCTTGAATTTAAAAATTTTTAAATTAATGTAAAATTTATGTTGAGCGAGATTCTAATAAATTTCCTAATTCATTTTTCAAGAGTTTAGTGTAACTATGTCCAGTTTGCGTACTATTGATAAAGTAAGATCCAGTTATTTTATTACACACAATTACTTGCAATTCCGCACCAAACATTTAGAGTTTATGGGTTCTGCCTATCAATCTGTTTAAACCATCGCGGATTCTCAACCAATAATGGATATTTCTCAGGTTTAATTGACCGTGATTTGTAAAGAATGCTTTATCGATAAATGATATTTTTATGAAAAACGTTTCATCATTTTCATATAGCCGTATGCTCCACTGACAAAAATTTAAATGGTTTTTGAAGTTCTCTTCATCAAGGGCAACAGATAAATGAATGAAAGGATAAAATTTTTATATATGAACATTTTTTACATTCGGAATACGCTTGAAACACTGGTTTCACGTGCAAGTTTGTTAAACTAATATGTGGATTTTTATGGACTTTAGCGATGACTTTTCTTTTTTTTCAGTCCCCTTTCATGGATAACAGTTTCACGTTTCACACATTTCTTTCTGTCAACATTACCAGTTTCACGAAATGTTTTAATGATGTCTGCGTATATAGAATGCGATGGACAAATACATTCTGAAAAAGTGTTCTGGTAAATTCGAACAGCTTCTCTTAGATACTGGCAAACTTCGCTATAAATGAAAATTATTTCAATCTTTTTCTGCTTTGAATAACTCATTATGAATCACTTATCGATACATTAAGAGAATTAACAGTGAAAAAATCCTAATAATGAACGAATTTCATACGGCAATAAGTAATAGTATTTGTTTACACTCTCAAGGTCACTTCTGTTGTCGTCCTGTCTGGAATCTTGCTCAATATGTTTCACATTAATTTAAAAATTTTAAAACCCCAAGTCATTTGAAGGTCATATCATAAACATATCTGAATGTATTTTTTCATGAGCTACGTGATAGGATAGAAAAAAATGGTTGGTCTCTTCAACCACCAGCTTAAGTTTGTCAGAAATGTACTATCACTACTAAAGAAGATATTCAGGTGGCCTGGTTTTCGTAAACACATTGTATTATGATCTAATTCACGTTTTTAGTAAAATTGAAGGATCTGAACATAATTTGATAATTATTATCTATTAAACTTAAGGTAAAAATCAGGCCACTCTCAATTTTCAATAACTTACATATTTTTAATAAAATTAAAAGATCTGAACATAATTTGATAAATTGTATTAACTATTCAAATTCAAGTTAAAATTAAGTCATTCCTCATCTTCAACAATTTATGATAAATATTTCTAATACAATTGAAGGGACACAATTTGAATACAATTTAATAATAAATTTTATTAACTTGACCACATATACATATATTGTACAATCACAAACAGTATCGCACACATACACATTATTTATTACAATAGTTTGTATCTCATTCCTTTGCTTTTATTACAGCATATAACTTTTCTGGTATAATCTATATACAGTGTGTTTTCTTTTCAATTTATTTCAATTTCTCTTATATCTGTTTTTTCTTTTTAATTTTTTTTTTAAATAATGTAATAAGTTTTTCACTATTTATAGATATACTTGAAGGTACTACTATTATATAAGTAAGAGTAAGGTACTACTACTATATAATGTGTATATACTTGAAGGTATTATTGCTAAGTAAACAAAAATATTCAAACATGTTGAGATCTTTTGCATTTGCAAATTAAATTGAATTCACTAATTTCATTCTTTTGTGTATTTTTACAAAATACAACGGTATTTTATACTTCAAAGATTTTAGTTTCATTTACATGAATATTTATTTGTATGGAAATTTTTTGCTAGAGGTGATTTTTGACATTAATATTACTTGATTGATTAGGATGACTAATTAATTTTACATATTAATAAATTAGAACGTATGCTTTAATTCTCAAATGCACGATATCACTGGGTCACACAATTTAAAATATTTAATTTTATTTTGTATTTTATATTTTCTTTGATAAAGATTAATGATAAAATTTGATAAAATTAAAAATTAAGCAAAATAAAACTTAAATGTTGTGATTTTTAATATTCAATAATATCATTTAAGGGTTTAATTTATCATAAATCAAGAAATTTGATAATAATTCGAAACAAATAAGATTCGTGCAATACTTACGAAGTGTTCTCTCTATCATATTGTTCAAACAATAAATCAATGAATGATTATCGATATGGAATTGCACGTATCAGTGCGAGATTGCAACAACACACATATGTAAATTGCACGTCTACAATTGTCTAAAATAATTGATAATATTTATCTTCAGCATGATTATATGATAGAAAAACATATATAATTGTTCATGTTGTTGCAATGGAATTATTCTTGAAACTTTATTGTCAAAATATATAAACACGTATCTGGATACAATTTAATAATGTTGCAAACATTTCTTATACGTTGATAGTCTCTTTTCAGTCTTATTTCAAGAGATGAGAATAGTCCTACGTCCCGTAGCAACTTTTTCCAATGTTGTAACAACAAAATTAATGATATGAAGTGAATAAATATTACATTCATTTATAACGAAATAGAATACTATGTGAAGCATGCTGTTAGCAATTATAAAGACAAAGCGATATATATATATATATGTGTGTGTGTGTGTGTGTGTGTGTGTGTGTGTGTGTGTGTGTGTGTGTGTGTGTGTGTGTGTGTGTGTGTGTGTGTGTGTNCAAGGATATAATCTTTGAGTTTCCATTAGGATAATTCACATTTTTTTTTTGTAATACATAAAAATACATTAATAAAAGTAAATTTATTTCGATATTACGAAAATTAAATAGTTATATACGTAAATTAATTACATATGATATTAAAAATATGATTTCTGAAATCTAATATAAAAGAATTTTACTATATATACAAAGTTTGAAAATATATTGCTTACAGTAGATTAAAAAAATAGTGATTTTAAATAATAATTTATCTTTTCATATTATATATGTTATCTTTTAATGTCACGTTTATACCAAACAAACAAATGTTTGTTTACGCCCCTCCCCGATAAATTCACGTTCAGTTGTTATATTAACATTAGTTTAATTAATATAACGATGTGAATACAAGCATAAATTTTATTGAAGTGAGGGCAAACGAGCATTCGTTTGTTTGGAAGTATTATTTAATTTGAATATTTTAAACATTTTAAATTATTTATACGATATTTTTGATGTCAGTCATTTAAAGTATTAATATCAAATATCTTTTAATGTTTTTTTAGCATACAAATACTATGTATTCTTTTAGAATATTTGATTAATAATATAAAGAAATTATGAATGAAAAAGGGACAAAAAAGTATTAATATGTTTGTGATTTAATTAGAAAATATACATGCGTATGGAAGAAATTCAATATATGTAAGTCCGATGCTTTTTCAATAATTAATTATTGAATTTTTTATTATAGAACATTCATAAAAGATCTGACATTCTTTCTACAAGTTTATTTTTATTCAAAAAAATATTCTTCTAATAATATTTTAAAATTACTTTTATTGATTATTTAATTAAATTAAAATTACTTTTATTGATTATTTCTCTTCCATAATTTGAAATATTTAAATATTATTGGTTTTACATCCGATAATTTTACTGGTGCAAATTGTTTGAGTACATTGTAAAATGAATGTGTATAGCCTCTTTTTATTTTTTGATCATTTTTTTTTTTTATTGAGGGTTTAGAATCGTATCGACTACGAAGTCTTTAGCGACGTGCTGGAATTTTCTCTTTATATCTGGTCGAGTAGTTGTGTCTCCTTTAGGTAGTTGATAATGTTTTCTTATTATTTCTGGCGGGTTAGAGCGGTGTTTGGGTTTAATCCGTATTTACTTTTTAGGTTTCGGTATTTTCTGCAGTCATGTAGCAGGTGTATTACGTGATCTTGAAGTGTCCAATTCGAAATCTAGTCATAGCTATCCTTTCTTTTCTGCTTATATTGTTGTTTGGTATTTTTTGGTAGAAATGGTGTGCTATGTTGTGTATTTTGATTCTATTTGTCGTAGTCCAAATTCTGTAGTTCCAATTCTTCTCTTTCAGCTTTGGTCGTTGGAGCTAGTAGGTCTTGGTGTGGAATTGGGATGTTGGATTCGTTTGTTCGGTCTGTTGTTGCTTCTTTGGCTAAGGAGTCGGCTTTCTCGTTTTCTTCTATTCCTTGGTGTGACGGGATCCAGGTGATTATTATTTGTTTATGGTCGTTGGTAAGTTCGGTGTATGTTTCCTGAATAATTTGTATGACTTCGTGCTTTTTGGTGGTATTAGTTTGTTATCGCATTTATCGAAGTCAAGGAATCTGTGTAGATTGGTATTTGTTTTCTTTGATGTACCGTAGTGCTTCTAGTATAGCGTATGTTTCAGCGGTCAGGATGGATGTGTGGTTGGAGAGCCATTGTTTTTTAGTGGTACTTTCTGTGACTATTGCGAATCAGATTCCACGTTTGGTTTTGGAAGCGTCTGTGTAGATCTTGTGGTAATTTTTATAGGTGTTGTTTAGTTTCTGAAAATATTGCTTGTGTTCTATGTTGCTTTTTTCATTTTTTTTGTGGTTAGCCAGGTCGGTGTTTGTTTTTGGTGTTTTTAATGACCATGAGGCTATTTTTCCGTGGTTGCGTTCGATAATTGGTGTTGAAGTGATTTCTCGTGTATTGGGATATCCTTTTAGTCTGATGCAGAATGGTGCCAGGAGTCTTGAATTTCTGTTGTGTTGGTTTGTTAATCTGTCGGCAAATGTGTTGTTGTATGCTGGGTTATTTGGTGTTGATGCTATTTTTATTGCGTATCTCAAGCTACGTAGTTTCCTTCTCTGTTCGAAGGGCTTTTGATCATTGTCTTGTACTGTAAATGAAATATTTCGTTAGTATGTAATTTAATTGCACATTCTATTGAATTACATTTATACACCCTTGAGCATTTACTGTTTCATTGATAAACCAAACAATTAAAAAACATGCTCACTATTTATGTTTTATTTATGTTATATTTATGTTGCTCTAAAGATTCTTAAATCTATACTCGAAACAGATCACAGAAATCATATCATCAAAATAAATTTCAAAGGTGAGACATGATTTTAAACATACTATAATGCTTTTATTCTAAATTATGATGAGAGTGACAAGACGAAATTCAATATTTAATATTTAATATTAAACGCTTCTTTTGCACATAATAAATGCAGTAATGTACGATGTTTTTTAATTAACCTTTCACGTTCAGAATTAAATTACATATGATAATTTTATTAAATTTTTGTATCATGTTTTTTTATCATATTGTATAAGATAAGATCCTCTATTTTTCGAATATCTTAATTGAAAAAATATCTACTAGTTACTATGATCTTCTCAACTACGCATGTTTACGCAAATTTACATTTTTCTAGGCATACTTAAAGAAACAGAATATAAATTAAGACTTGTTTTACCTATTAAATATTATAACGAGTACTTTGCTATTAAATATTTCACCTATTTTTACAATTGCATGCATTCTAAATTTTTACATTTCTCACAAATGCATAAAGATTTTTCATAAATGCAGTCTAAAATATAACATTTAATATACTTAATTGAATATTGAGATATTTGTGTTCGGGCGATTTCCCATAATTCTGATCGTTAGAATTATACGTACGAAAGACGTTAGGCTTCTTGTCCGCATAAATTTTTAAATAACGGCTCATCCGTTTCTTTTTTTTTTTTTTTTTAATGCTTGCAAGAAATTCTAACGTCTACCACGCTCTATCGCGGCTATTGTTTACTGATATCTTTCTTGATTGACCCGCGTGCCTGTTATGTTTAATGTCTTCTAAAAACGGTTAACATCGATGTTTAATAAATTCACTGTTTTTAGAGGAATTACGTCAAAGCAATCAAACAACTCACGGTTCAAAGTGATTGGCATCAGTACTTGCCATCACTTTTATGTGACATCAGTGGAGAAAGTCAGTTCTTCATATTCATTCACTATAGTCCGTTAAACATTTTGCACTCAGTGCGTCATACTAAACTCAACTGTCAATACGTATCGTCAGTGCGTATCACTGAGTACCTATGTATATACGCGTATCACGTCAATGCGTTTTCATACAATTCGGGCTATAGTCAATCTTTCTGCTATATCGCTATATTTTGGCTGTCACTGCTATTTTGTTATTGCTACGTGAAATATTAAGAATTAGTCAATTAGTTAATCATAATTCCGTGCGATCCACGCGAATCTATCGTTTATATCATAAAATACAAAATCTCCGATCATCTATTGGAATCGTAACATTCTGCTAATACTTCATCAAACGGTCGCTATTCGCCTCAAGCGCGCGAATCGTGCTCATATCGCTTGATACATCGCGCTGCAATGATTTGAAAAACAAATGTTTATAACAGAATCTCTATATTACGTTTTACGTGATAAATAAGAAAAAATAAAGCGTAGTATTATAGTAAAAAACATATAAACATTCTCATCTTGAAGCGATTTACAAATATTCATTTTTCATGTTGTTTTGATCATCATGGGGAATTAATGTCACATTGAATTGAATTTAAGCAGACTGCGGATTTTTATTCAAGCTCGTAATTTTATGAAAATAATTTAAAAAGTAAGATTTAAGCATAGATTCGTTTTAACTATTAAATATTATAACAAATACTGTGTTTATATCGTAAATTTATATCGAAAAGTTTACGAATTTCGCTCAGGGCTTAAACCACAAATTGTCTCTAAAAGAATAAGTAAAAAAATAAAACCATCAAGATATAAATGATTTTGTTATTGACGTTTTTTTTCTTTCTTTTGCCAATTTGATTTGAACACGAGAATGTTTATTCTCCATTGTTTATTTTTATGTGTTTAAGTTGTGCGCTTTGAAGAAAGAGTTGAGGTCTGCAACTTCGTCGTATACGAGAAGACCGAGAGTTCAAAGGACTATGTCTCAAGACACTGGCAGTTTATACATGTCGGAATCTGTTTTTGGAACTGCTGGACACGATTCGGTAGTTACGTCGTTTGAAGATATTAGCGAGGTCGAAATGCAAAAAATTAAAAAAGTTCAAAGCTTCTTGAGAGGATGGCTGTGTCGCAGGCGTTGGAAACAAATTGTCGAGCAGTACATTAAAAGTCCTCATGCTGAGAGTATGCGTAAGCGAAACAGGTAGGAATTACTTCCTCTGTTTATTCAAATTTTAACTGGTAATCGCTCCTAACGTTAAGTGCAATCAATTAATATAATAACGGTGCCAAAAACTCTAGAATATGGAACATTATGACTGGATTGCAGATTTTTGTGCCTATAAGAAATTTTAAAGCGCAAAGTTTTAAAGAATGAAAACTCAAGAAAACTTATATACATCTGCACAGATTTCAAATATTAAAAAAAGAAGGATTTTAAATATTTTATAGAAACCAATTTATTTTTTGGTCAGAGGTATGTAGATTTTGAAGAAATATAATTGTTCTTTGGAAAATATAAAAAGCAGCAAAATAAAGATATAATATAAAATATACAGAACAACAAAAAAAACAACATCTGTTATATAATTATTTCCTTCTTATTATTAAAATTATAATCAAAAAAAATTTTATTTGTTCTATTGTACATATCGTAATTATATTTAGATTTTAATAAAATTGTGTATATAGTAACATTGTCAATTTCTGATTGTCATCTAATTTTAAGAAACAAATTAATTAATGTCCATAAAATATCCAAAATCCTCTTTTTTCTATTTTACATGTATGAAATTTGAAAAAAGTGTGTAGATCTTATTGAATTGATTATAGGTAAAAAAAAAATATATGTATGTATATATGATTACAGGTGTAAAAGTATATATGATTATAGATAAAAATAATATATATATATAAAACATTTAATACATTTAATACACCGAAGTTTTAATTGTTCAGTTTTTCAAAATTATATTCAAACATAAATTTATGTAAAAAATCGTATCTAGTTACAATTTAGGACCAGTGATTTATGATACGAGAGTGATTAGAAGTTAGTCTTTTTAAATTAGACACATCAGTACTTCGTTTGTTATAATTAATAATTAAATATACAATTAAGTATATTAATAGCTATCTACTTTTAGTTATTTTTAAGTGCAACAAAGTTTTCTTCCTCACAATAATAATTATTGTATCATAAATAATTATTGTATCATGAACCACATACGCGTCAGAAGTACCCTATTATTTATAAAATGGTTTCTAGACAGGAAATTAAACTAGTATAATTTTAATACTTTTATTAAACAAATCTATACGGAAAATGTTGAAATATTAGACATTATTTAATACTAGAACTGCCAAGTTGGTCAAAATGATCAATTTTTGATAGAAACTTTATAGATGTAAATCTTTAGAGACATCTTTAAATAAATTAATACAGATTTAATTATAATTTTTTGTAAAGTGAAAGCTTGGCGCTTCCTGTTCTTCTCGATTTTAATATCTTTGATGGAAATTGTATGCTTTAATCGTTGATAAACAATATATTACAAAAATGATAATTAATTGAATGTTATTTGAAATGAATGCGTCAGTTTATTTAAACGTGAAAATGATTTTTCTTTAGATTATTTCATTACTTGATTAAATGAAGTAACGTTTTTTTTTAGTTTTCATTTTGAAAAAGAAAGAAAAAAGGAGAAACTATTTGTGAATGATTTATTTAAATTTCACACAAAATAAAGCTGTTTTATTATTCTTATAATAATAATAAATTAGTTGAATTAATTTATTGTTTCTAATCATTATTTTCTAATTTTAATCTAAATAAATATTTTAGAACGACTAAAATAACATGGATATCATTCTGAAAAGATTTAAATAATATAAGCAATTAAACGATACTACAACGATACAAAAGGAAAAACCTATTTATTGTATTTTACTGTAACATAATATTTTATAATACTTAAATATTCCGTCCGTTAGACAAAACATTTTCTCACGTGATTTTAACGTGTCTATTTATTATTATATAACGAATTATTATGTATTGGTTGTATTTATGAACAACATTCGCTCTTTTCTGATTTATTTTATTTTATTTTTTTTTTTTGTGTACTAGTACTTATTACACTAACATTAATTAATTAAAAATAAACCAATCATCTAATAGTGTACTACATAATAATCTACCAATAAACGTATTAATAAGTTAATAGACTGAAGTAATAAATTAACTATGCAAATATTAGATAAAATGTTAGCCACATCAAAATTATCTATATAATAGTTTACTCAATCAGAAATTAGTGGAACCATTGACTAATAGGATCGACCGAACATCTACTGCTTTTCCACGATTTGGAAGTCATATGACCCCTTTATCATTTTCACATGTGTCACATCCTGTCGTATCGATTTAGGCAAGTTTGCACTACATCGCTATTGATGATAGAAATTAAAATCAAAAAATATGGACAGTGTTGCCGATCTTTATCGAAAATTATTTATTGAATTGAATCCAGTGAAACGGGCAAACATACGGGTATGTAAATACAATAATCATAATAAATAAATACAAATTTAGTAATAAGACATTGTTTAAGAAGCCTACAAAAGCATTGTTTCTTTAATAGATCTCTATGATTTTCTTTTTTACGATAGAATTTTTTCTACGTGCCATTCTGAATAAAAAATAATTAGAGCATAATATCGAAAAGAAAGTAATATTTCTTGAAATATTTCTTTAAATTTTATACAGGATGCGGCTTTTAAATGAAAACATATCTGCTGCATTTTTGTTTTTAAGAAGAAAATGTTCAAGATAAAGTTGCACCATTTTAAAGCGCACATTCGTTGAAAGTGAAAAGAATTTTTTTTTCAGTCATTTTTACAATATTTCAAATCATTGGAAATATTTTGGTCGATTTTCTTATAGAGCATAAAAATTAAAGTTTAATCATTTGAATTTCATTTCAGTGATTTAATCTAGAGAAATTTTTTTCGGAGTGAAACGTTTAAAGAAGTTCACATTAAAACAGTTATGGCTATCCATTATAGTCAAGCGAACACAATAATTTGGCATTCACTATGCAAGAGTTAATATAAAATATGAATTTGTAGAATGATTTTCTGAAATAAATTATATAATTGACGTACATATATTCGGAGTTGCGGTACGAGAGCACGCATCGAAATGCTCTTTCCTGCATTTATCAGTCTCTCCCGTTGATCATCGTTTTGTTTGACATAAGTATGTACCTCGACCTGTGACATAAGACAGTAAGCCTTATTTCTTTTAAGAATCATAGTCCTCTACACCCCTTATGTCTCTATTATCACGTGGGTTTTGTAGTATACTACGTAATTTCTTTACAATTTTGTCAAGAATTTAATGACATATCATTATATGTCATTATATGTCATTATATCTCAATACATACCGAATTTTTTAACTTATTTTATTGAATTTTTATACGAATGAAATTATGAATGAAATGATACATTCTCATTGAGTACTGCTCATTTTCATTCTCTTTCTGATTGCCTTCATCACGATTATCATCGTGCAGAATGACAAATGGAAAGCGAGTTAAAGGGACAATTTAGGATTGCCTGATGAAAGCATAGTTGTCAAATCTAAAAATTTGACATGGTTCCACTGATCGGTTCTGTCCATGGAATGATGACACTAGCGAAATAAGCTGTACGATCCTTGTCGCAGTGTTTTAGGTATTCGCTCGAGTTTGATCAAAACTATCCGATCAGATTCAACTGCTAAATGTCAAAAGTCGTACCTGGGTAATTTGGACAAATTTTTAAAATAATTAAAAATACAAGTCTTATTAATAACTTTCTGAAAAAAATAATGTTTATTTAAATTCTTTCTGAAATATAAAGCTTTTGCTCTAATTACCTTGAAATTTTGTTTCTGTGAAGATATTTTATAATAAATGAGAAAAAGAAAATACTTCTATCCTCGAAATTTGTAAAAATTTAAACCTTTTTCAAAAAAAATATTGAGGATTTTTTTATGACTGAAAATCTACCATAGAAAATTCTAATTTTGTCTTTTTTCAATGATATCTTAAAACTTATGCTATAAAGAAATTCGGTAGTATGTATACAGAATCCATGTAATAATAAGACAAAGATGTGTAATTACTAACCTGCGAGTCCTTGCCCCAGTTTCTTGATCGCTAGCGCTATCCTCTCCACTGCATCGATCTTTCCACACATTGAAATTCCTCACTCTCTCAGCCCGTTTATTTCCCTGTCAAGTAAGTGAAGAGATCGATGCAGTAGAGGGGATAGCGCTCAAGAAAGTAGAGGCAATGGCACGCGGGCAGGTAGTTACACATCTGTGTAATAGGAGAAGCACAGACAGAAACGTCAAGGTTCTCCAGAAAAGATAGGATTACAGTCATGACAAAAAGCGATGATCGGTAGATGAGATTGGATGACCAATTCAATGCGAGCTCTCGAATTACTATTATATCTATCAATATTATGATAATAACAAAACTGAATGTGTTTACAAATTTGGTACAGAGAGGCATATTATGCGGTGCAGATCAAGGGATGGGTGGAAAACTTATACTTTATAATTTCACAGAACATTATTAGAACGAGATAGATTTTTTATGCGGTAGCTTCTTGACGGATAAATATAAAATTGTTTTGCACTGAAAAATGGGTAAAGGAAGCAATTTATTTATTTGCAATTAGTACTTTAATGTTTCAGGAATAAATACACTCAAGGATTAACGCAATAAAACGATTTATTTAAAGTAATAATAAATGTATGTAACGCAAGTTGAATAACGTGTGTGAAAAAAGTAATGGCACTTTACGGATTACAAAAATGTATAGTAAATATTAATATTTAGTATGGAGTCCATTATTTCCAATAATCTCTCTTAATCGCTAAGGCATTGAATGGACCAGTTTACTCGTAAATTCTGCTTGAATTTTATCCCATTTTTCTAACAGTAAATCTTTTAATTGATTTTTGTTTGTAATGTAATGTTTTCGTATCCTTGTTTCGAGATCAGCCCACAAATGCTCAATAGTTGAGATCTGGTGATTGAGGTGGAGTAGGTGAAGTATGTGCGACATTGTAAGCAAACCACGTACGAACTATATGTTTCGGGTCATTGTCGCTTTGAAAGTAAAGGGGTGCCAATACTTTCCCAC